AAGTTTTTTTTTACAGCTGTTCACTGACAAAACAAATGACAAAAAACATATACAGGTCACATCAGGGTGTTTCCACTTACAAGGGAGATGTCTTCACATAACTGATGTTGCCATGCGAACGAGGACACTCTGGGTTGACACACCGAAAGCCTCCCCCCGTGTTGATACAAGTTGTCCCTCGGCTACAGTTGTGCTGCTGGCTTAAACATTCGTCCACATCTGGAAGACAAAACAGTAGAGGCAAGTAAGCATGAGAAGCGGGGAGAGAGACTTGCCAGACTGACTCCCTGCTCCCTGGTTACCACAGTCTGAGCAGGGGGTGCTGTGCTGTGATTGTTTATTTAGTTTTTTTGGTTTAGTCTCCCACAAACGCCTCGTGTCCTCAAGATCCCTTCTACTGGGAAAGGGTGAAGTCATTCATTCCACTGGCAAGAACTGTAAGATTTAGGGGTTCAAATAGAAGTGGTAGCAAGGTTTGGGGCTGACAGTCACCTCAGCAGAAAGTAAAAACTTTGAAGCTAAAAGGCTCCTTTCTAAAATCATAGGTATTCCTCTCTGGAGCTATACCCTCTGTCAAATCTGCAGCCCTGTGAATGAGCCTTTGTCCTCTCTTCCCTCTTGTCACTCACCCTCACAGTTCCGCCCATCTGGGAGTAACCGATAGCCAGTCGGGCAGGAGCAGTGGTATGAGCCTGGAACATTCACACACTCATGGACACAAAGCTTCCCTCCATGGTCCAGTCTGTACACTTTACACTCGTTTACATCTGCAAAGAAACAGATAAAGAAATGTATGTAGCTGTCTGCAGATAGAGGTAACGGGGGGAGATGTTTGGGAGATAGATAATGATACATCTCACACAAATTACAAGGCACTCTGAGGAAGTTATGTTATTTCTTTCCCTCAGGCTACTGCCATTATTTCAGTTCCTTAGTTTTGCCCTTTAAACATCTCAGACATTACAACATTTGGAGAAACTGCATGGAAACTTTCAACCAATTACATGAAACTTGAAACTACTTCATTGTCATTGTACATGAGTACAACAAAATTAGATGTACCACATCTGATCAGTTGCAATATAAAAACATAAAAAAATATAAAATATCCATTCTCACAGCTACAATAACCACATCCACAGAAACAAACATCTTAAAAGCGGCTGAACTGTGACCTATGGATGATAATCAGGTAGGTAGGTAGGTAGGTAGCCTGTGACATCTTGAGAGGATTATATTGTTTGTCACAGACTGGCTCCACAGATTATTCCAGTTTGTATCCATATTAATCACTAGAGGGAGTACATTATTAGTGTATTTTTAGAAGCAGTAAAGTCCCTTTAACACCTGTTATTTGCCCTGCTGAGATGTTCTTGAGCAAAATGCTCTAGGGACCTGCTCTGTGCCTCACTGTGAGTTGGAATGGGAAAAAGAAAATTTTCCCACAGGGATCAATTAATTGACACATACAGTAATTACAGCTCACCCTGACAGATACTGTTGTCGGATGTGCCACTCATGTGAAAACCTGCATCACAAGTGCAGTGCTGGGCGTGATTCACTTGGGTACAGCGAGGTCTCTGGCTGAACGCTGGATCATTCACAACACTCCACTCAGGTGGTGCTGGAGAAAATATGAACGTTAAAGACCTGTGTTACAGTTTGACCAATCTGAGCTGAGCACACGGTATAAATGTACAGTACAGTAGTAGATCTCAGTCTTGAGTCTCAGATATACATTTTGTGACACTGACCTGTCTGGGTATGGTGCTGGCAGTGAGAGCCACTCCAGTTCTGAGGGCAGATGCATTTGTACTGATTAACACCTTCCACACAGGTACCTCCATTTTGGCAGGGATGACTCGCACACTCACTTATATCTGTGGATTTAGGAGAGAATTATCACTGTAGAAACTTTTCCTGTAGTCATTTTAAATCTGAACCATATTCCCAACATACTGGTCCACACAGCTCAAAGGTACACAGTTTCACTTTTGACCAGTCACTTTACAACTGCTTCTTTATGAGATGCATATTCCTGAGATAAAAATGAAACAGAAGTGATATATTTTGAGTTTTGATGTAATCTGTGACATTGGTTTAGCATGTTCTTATTTAAACTTTGCATAATCCTTTCCCATTTACTATCCATTCACAGAGCAGCAATGAGTGGCCGAGTTTAATAAGTGATACTTAAGAATGAAAAGCTAGTGTCACGGTGGACACATTATGTAAGTCAGTGATGCCCTGTTTTGTTTGTGTAAATGTCTTCTTAAAATATAATGGAGATCATTTGTCAGGTTTGCTCGGCCACACCTGCCTTTTCTCACTTCTTCTGTCTCAGCTCACTCCACCTCACACACCTGCCACCTGTTTCCTTAATTATCACCAGCTGCATTCACTCAGTCCCCCACCTTATTTATACCCAGCTCACTTTTCACCCCCTGCCAGTTCATTCACGTTCTCAGGCTGTCTCTTTGTCTCCCATTGTGATTATTATTTGTTACTGTATTTTTCTGTGTTTCCAGTTCCCTGTTGTTTTTGCCCCGGATTACCGTGCTTTTCTCCTCCTCTAGCCCTACCTCTTTTTTCCCTCTCTTGGACTGTTTTTCCTCCGGACCCTGGTTCTACTCTACCCTCCCAGACAGGTCGATGCACAGTCACCAGTTGTCTGCCATACCAACTCCTCTCTGCTTGTGTTTTACCAGTAGCTACCATCAACCACTGACCAGCCCAGGAGTGACCCCGCGATGCAGCTCGGCCCACCTCATTCAACTCATCATCCCTCTACTCCTGCTTCTGGTCGACACTTCAGTTACTCTATTTCATTATCCTCCACTTACTTGTTATTATCACTAGATTGCACTGTATAGAATTAATCACTACTTGCACTGATGCCGGCTACCTGGGTCCGCCTCTCTTTTTCGCTCGCTCACTTCCAGGTGCGAGCGTATCCTAACATCATTATTAAAGTGCAATAAAATCAATCTGCATCTTCAAAGTTCAGTTTAAAGTGTTGTTGTTCTATATGGACATAATTTTTATTCATATCTTTTAGCATTGTAAAATACAGAAGACACCTTTGTTGTTTTTGAGATTTGAATGCTTTTCCTTTCAGTAAAATGAAACTATAATAACAAAAATACCTTCAGCACCTTTCCATAAAGGTTTATTACAGTTCTACTTGGGTTTTCAAGCAAAATTTATTCATACTTCTTTACAACAGGTTCCTCACCTAAACGTGGGTAAATGGATATTTCTGTAAATGGTTCTGACTGTTAATAAGGGCTCATTCATATCCAGAATGGCCAGTACTATGATGCAAAAATCAGAAATTTCCCCACTGTGGGATCAATAAAGTACCTACTCTACTCAAAAGGATACTTGTACAGTGTACCTGCTGATTATATACTGGAGACACCACAAGTACATATCCATTCATTCAAGCACCAATGTCAAATCTACTGACTTATTAATGGAATATACAGTGGTGTGAAAAAGTATTTGCCCCCTTACTGATTTCTTATCTTTTTGCATGTTTGTCACACTGTAATGTTTCAGATCATCAAACAAATTTAAATATTAGTCAACGATAACACAAGTAAACACATCATGCAGTTTTTAAATGAAGGTTTTTATTATTAAGGGAAAACAAAATCCAAAACTACAAAACCCTGTGTGAATAAGTGTTTGCCCCCTAAACCGAATAACTGGTTGGGCCACCCTTAGCAGCAACAACTGCAATCAAGCGTTTTCGATAACTTGCCATGAGTCTGCCACAGCGCTGTGGAGGAATTTTGGCCCACTCATCTTGGCAGAATTGTTGTAAGTCAGCCACATTGGAAGGTTTTCGGGCATGAACTGCCTTTTTAAGGTCATGCCACAGCATCTCAATTGGATTCAGGTCAGGACTGTGACTAGGCCACTCCAAAGTCTTCATTTTGTTTTTCTTCAGCCATTCAGAAGTGGACTTGCTGGTGTGCTTTGGATCATTGGCCTGCTGCAGAACCCAAGTTCGCTTCAGCTTGAGGTCACAAACGGATGGCCGGACATTCTCCTTCAGGATATTTTGGTACACAGCAGAATTCAGGGTTCCATTTATCACAGCAAGTCTTCCAGGGCCTGAAGCAGCAAAACAGCCCCAGACCATCACACTACCACCACCAATATTTTACTGTTTGTATGATGTTCTTTTTCTGAAATGCGGTGTTACTTTTACACCACACATAATGGGACACACACCTTCCAAAAAGTTCAACTGTTGTCTCGTCTGTCCACAGAGTATTATCCCAAAAGTCTTGGGGATCATCAAGATGTTTTCTGGCAAAACTGAGACGAGCCTTTATGTTCTTTTTGCTCAGCAGTGGTTTTCGTCTTGGAACTCTGCCATGCAAACCATTTTTGCCCAGTCTCTTTCTTATGGTGGAGTCATGAACACTCACCTTAACTGAGGCAAGTGAGGCCTGCAGTTCTTTGGATGTTGTTGTGGGGTCTTTTGTGACCTCTTGGATGAGTTGTCGCTGCGCTCTTGGGGTAATTTTGGTCGGCCGGCCACTCCTGGGAAGGTTCTCCACTGTTCCATGTTTTCGCCATTTGTGGATAATGGCTCTCACTGTGGTTCGCTGCAGTCCCAAAGCTTTAGAAATGGCTTTATAACCTTTTCCAAACTGATAGAGCTCAATTATTCTCTTTCTCATTTGGTTTTGAATTTCTTTGGATCTCGGCATGATGTCTAGCTTTTGAGGATCTTTTGGTCTACTTCACTTTGTCAGGCAGGTCCTATTTAAGTGATTTCTTGATTGCGAACAGGTGTGGCAGTAATCAGGCCTGGGTGTGGCTAGAGAAATTGAACTGAGGTGCGATAAACCAGAGTTAAGTTATGTTTTGACAGGGGGGGCAAACACTTATTCACACAGGGCTTTTCACACCACTGTATATTCCATTAATCATCAGTGACCAAGAAAGTCATAAAATTGCATAAGCTGTACTCTCATGGCATACAGTAACACCACAAAATGTAAACTGTTGACAGTAGCAGAAGGTAGGATGACCCTCACTAGTGATCTCCTGTCTGGCCTAAAACATGTTCTGTCTGTCAGACAAGTGGATAAATAATACATCATGCCTGATCGTCTTTGTGTCTGTAGTCAGCTCTGAGGGTTGTGCAGATGTTCAAACTATGAAGCAGTCTCTGCTCTTTGAGTGCCAATGCTGAGGCCACAGTGTATTGGATAGCAGCAAACCCCTTTAATGTTTATTTGGCTTCCCCAGGGCCACCAAGGGGCCATAACATGAAAGGGCCCACTTCACTCTGCTATATATTTTTAAACTCTTCTTAACTCTAAGCTTTTCACACCTGGTCAAAACTGCTTTTTAAGCATGACTAAATTTAGACCTCTTTGCTGGGCTGAAACACATGAACAGGGATAATACTGTGCAGAGTCAAGCCTTCTCGTGTTGTTTTAACCATGAATGTCAGTAAACGTATGCACATGTTCAGCTGAGTGTGCCACTTGAAATTTTTGGAAGAGTGCCACCAGCGCGGGGTGAAGGGGCTACGAACAGCATGCTTAGCATACTTCTGTGCTATCAGACCATGATGTGGATCTAATGTTTGGACCTAAGCCCTATCCAGTGGGACTGCTGTCAAAGAACCAGGGAAACATGAGCTGAGGGGTTTTATCTTACAGTAGCCCAGACATTGTTCTGTTCATGAGGAGCAGAAACCTGGAAGTGAAGGCACCCCACAGTGGAATGCAGTACAGGTTTTTTCTGGTTAAAGCCATTTTAACGAGTGCTTCATTCAGTATGCTGAGGAGCTCCAGCCACTCTGAAGAATGGCTCTTTTCTTTGCTTGTTATCTCTCTGTCTGTGTGTGTGTGTGTGTGTGTGTGTGTGTGTGGAGTTCAGTTTGGATTCTGCGCTCCTGTCACTTTCAGCCTGGCTTTCAGACACTGCTGACTCCCAGTAGTGATCAGTAGTGAATAATGCACATATGTAACAGTCCTGGCCAAAAATATTACACAAAATCATACACACAGTAGGTGATAGTTAACGGGTAGTTGCATGTGGAAAAAGTCATGAGGGTGAAAATCTCCTAATCCTGTGATAAAAATACACTGTAGCTGCAGTGATACTGCATTCCTCATGTGGATCAAATGTAAGGTTGGTCTCACAGATGGTTAATAATGAGGATTTAAAGCAGACTCATTGACCTGGAATTGTTGCATCTTGCTGAGCAAACTATAAACTCCAGGGGAGACTCACCTTTACAGATGGCACTGATGCCGGTCCAGGTTCCATTGTCCTGGCAAACCCGTGTGGAAGAACCGACAAGATGGTATCCCTGGGAACAAGTGAAATGGACTTCGTGTCCAACAAAATACTTTGAGCCAAATTTGGTTCCATGAGCAGGGACTTCCAGGGAGGGGCAGCGTGTGGGGTCTGTGGGAGAGAGAGAGAGAGATGGCATGAGAGGAAGTAAGTCTCCCAACATCCTCTGGCATTCTTTGCATGGGAATATGTACATGTGTCTCTGGGCAAGTAGAAAGGCTTTATGGGAAAGGATGGATCAAATGCCTATTTTACAGTCAACTAGCAGAGGACTGGCCATTTTTATGAGTCAGAAGTATATCAGCAGAGAAATGGTATGCTATGTTGTATGCTTTGGAATATGTTATGATAGTATAGAATGTACATCACATAATATTGTGAATGGAATTTATGCTTTGTCCAAGTGGAGCTGGAGCATGGTGAGAACATGTTCCCTATTCTTTTAACCACAAGTGAAAATGATACTTTTCAGAGACTGTATGGTTAAGTCTCACACAATCAAACCTCAGTCATGTCCAGCTCATGTTTGCAGTATAAAAACAGCCACTTTCATCCAAATGTGTTCTTTCTGATTCATTTTTTGTGTCAGACATTTTCCAGACTAACATTAGCTTCATAGTAAAGGGCAAGCTACACATCTAAGCAGTGTGTACAATAAATTTGTATGTATATTGTATAACAGTAAAAGAATACATTAATCATAATATCTAAATCAAAAAAGTGACTTTTCATATGTGGATTTTTGGATGTGATACAGATCTGAGTTTTCAAAACAGGTGGTACAATAAATTTACTTGTTGAGCTTTTATTGCTGCAAATGTAAAATAGCAGCTTCTTCCTGTTCTGCCAAATACTCTCCACAAAGTTAGAGACTACACTGATTCATCATGAACAAATTGGCCTCAGTGTCTGCTGCCAAACAACACAACTGCACAAATCCACTTCCCCTGTCAAGTACCCAGCTCTGTAAGTGAGATAGCTTCACGCTGCTGGATCATGCTATAATACCTAAATATAAGAAGCCATCACTGTCTCCCTGTTGTCACTGGAATACCAAGAAACTGGGAGAAGGTCCACTTTAAACAACGATGGAAATCCAAAGCTTTTGAATCTTCTATTTCCTTTAACTTAGCAATCATTCAATGAATCATCAAGCAAAACCTTGGTCAGATCACCCACGCATGTGACACATTATACAGCATGGACTGTGAATTACATAACTACTCAGTAATCTCTATATATAATTTTGCCAACCATATACTGTGTATTTACATTAGAAGAGCAAATCTAGTCATATATTTTGTATCAAAGTATTGTTCTTACAGTATCTATGCCAAATGGTCAGATAAGCAGACTATACAAAAATTATTTTCTAGCACATTCATTCATTTATTTACCTGAGTAATTAGATTGATTTTTTTTGTTTTACCAATTCTGTGACCCAGTTTATTGTAACACAACAGCTCAACAGTTAACAGAATGTATTAAGTTTAGTTTTACAGTGCTGAAATTACTGTATACACAGAGACTGTATGAAACATTACAGTGTCATTATCTATATTCTTGTATAGCTCCTAGTGACAACACCTGTTCTTGTAGTACTATGATCCAAATGTGTTCTGGGGAAGAATGGCCTGTACAGATGACAATGATGAATGAACATGATGAAGCCTAGTGTGGTGGGAGTGGTAGTGTTTATTATTCACCAGCTGACTGGTCTGCTTGAGGTAATTTGGAGACAGAGTTCTGAAGCGCTGCCAGCTTTGACTTCATGATCCTGAGGCTCTCTGTGAATCGCATCTCCTGGCCTTTCAGGAACTTCTCCATTTGACGGAGCACCCCAACAACCTGGTGCTTATCCATGCACGTCTGCAAATTAAACATGAGCAGAATTAAACAGTTATAAAATGTGATGACTTTCCAATAAGAAAACAAGTCACCAGTTCAGTTTAACGGCCATAAAATACAAAACATGAGTGGTGAATAAACTCTGATGTGCAGCTGTGGACTATGATGTAATTGAAACTAAATCTATCTTATTTGTGGGTACATGGTCATTATGGTTACAAAGAGTTTTCATTGATATTAAAATACTTTATGTAACACTGAGGTGTTTAACTGTACTTGCATGATACAGTAATGCCCCATGAATTTTTTTTACAAAAAATTATTTTTGCTTTGCACTGTTTTCCTTTAGACACTCTTTGCGCACATGTGAGATATTCTAGTTCTATCATCTCTCTTCTTCTTTCCCTCACCCCTTTTTGCTGCTACTACCACAACTCCAGGGGTAGACACAGCTGGACAAAAGCTGTCTGGCAGATGTCAGTGGGACCTAAGTCCAAAATGCTGTTCTTCTGTATATTTTGCATGGCAGTAGGGGAGCATATGCTCAATAGATAGTCCTGAATGGGCAGACTTAAAATAACATGGGTGGCACTAGCAGCTACTTGAGGGAGAAGGCTTGTCACACCATGACAAAGTCCTTCAGAGAAAAGTGTCTCTAATCCTTTCAGAGGGGTTTATTAATCACATGATCAGTGAAACAATGTCTCAAAGCAGCATACATTAAATTCCTGCACTAGTATTTAGAAGACTGAACAATAACAACTAGCTTCAATACATTAAAATCCATTGTGTACATAGCTCCTGTGCAATAATTAGATAGTGATCATTTTATCTGCCCCAGGCAAAGGGGAAATGCCACCAGCTGACAAGACAGGAGAGGATTCTTCCTCATGATGCTACAATGAGTTTTTTTTTGTTTTTTTTTTTTTGAAAAAGCAAAAAGTATCAAGTAACTTCTTTAATGAAAGCTATGACAACAAACCTGACTAGGCCTAACACACAACCACAATAGATGGACGCTAGATAAAGTGTTTTTCATCAACTATATAAATGCCTTAAAAAAAGGTTATGTCAGATTTTGAGATTGTAGAGTAATACACTTTACTGAGCCAATTTACCCGGGCGGTAGACCTCCATGGACCAGTGTAACATAAGTTGCTCTTACCTGAACGGCAGCATGACCACTCTGGATGATTGTCAAACACAGCAATAGCAAACACCTGCGTTGAAAAGACAGTGCCATCTCTAAAAGTCCAGTAGCCTAATACCTAATACTGTTCTCTGGTGATGTTTCACAGTATTTAGAAGACCTGTGTTTTATGGTTCTTCGATATAATAATAAAGAAAGAAAAAAACAGTTATCTCTTGTAAAGTTGTGTCCTCACGTTTGGAAGGCATTCGTCAGGTGTCTGAGGCAGATGCGCTCCTGTCTGTGAATCTGCGCTCTTGGAGAGTTCAGTCTCTGAGCTCTGCACCCGTTTCCTTCAGCAAGAATCCCTCCCACCGACATACTCCCAGAGACGTCTCTCTCTCTGTTGCTGACAAGGAAAGTTTCATACAAAATAAAGTCAGGAACATATCTGGCAAAAAGCACAACTAAGCCAATAATGTGATTTTTATATTTACACGGCCATTAAGAGTGAAATAATTGTAGCCTATTATATTGTCTTCAAACTTAAATCACTGAATCTCTTCAGAATAAGACTTCCTCTGAATTTTACTGTGTTCATTATGAAACAGGTCGTTGTCCTATCTTTGAATGACCGAGTCGCTTATCTGGTAGTTGAAGCATCGGGTAACACCATGGTAATACCCACATCTTCACTGACATTGATTTGTAAAGCTGGCGCCCCACCTGGTGGTCACTGACAGGTCTGCATGAGCGCGTGAACCGCCGTGCACGACTGTGCGTGTGCGCGCATAAATCTGTAAGCGGTAAAAACAATTTAGGCGGTAACTACTATTAAAGCAATAAAGACAATTTGAATTTGCTGTACCCGTTTTGTCTTTAAAGTTATCATAAATTCCGTTCGTTCTAACAATGTAATGCACTCAGTCATAAAAAATGACAAAGGGAGAAAATGAGCGTCGTATACACTTCGTTGAAGCAGAATTTAGCAATAAGTGGCATTGCTTTTAGCCAATAAGAATCGCAGTTTTCTTTACCCGTGCGACGTTTGACCAATTGCTGATGAGAGTTTGTTGCATACAAGTTAGATAGATCCGGAGAGGACTATATATATACGTGGGTGAGTACATAACCGAGGAATGTGCTGCAGAACTCAGAAGCCATTTTGAGATGATGTACCTATTGAGAAAGCCTATGAAGATGCAGAAATCAACGAACATGGTTACATTTCTGTCTGTTTCTCCCTCGGTTTCCTCTATTTCACCTTGGCAGCTGTCAACCGACGGGACATTAGCAAAGCGGGGTATCAAGCTGTGCTCACAGAGTTAAAACGTCATTGATATGAAAGAGGAGAGTGTCTGTTTACTGTCTCTGTCGAGACATGTAACACCGTGAGTTTTTTCCAGTCTGAAATCTTGCAGCATCTCTCATAACCCAACGTCTCCTTGAGTGACTGAGTTAATTCACTCTTGTACCGGAGAGAAGGGAGGCAGATCCGCTGTCCAATGGCTTCTGTGAGCCTTGTTTCCAGTCCCCCAGCCCCTGTTCTTGACAAAAACATGACAGACTCTGAGCTTGCAGGGGATGAAAGGTCGAGTAATATTCTTATGCAATTCTTAATACGCTCGTCTGTGCGTTTCAGTGCTGTGGGTCTACATGCTTGTGTTACTGTTTTTTAACCATGAATTGCAGGGTATAGAGACATTTCCACGGTTTCCCCCTTCAAAATTCTTTGCATGCCTCTTTGGTGCACTTGAATAACGCTGTCCAAATAGCCTAGATTTCCCATCACCGCGTCGAAAAGACTCACTCATCATCACTTTCATGCAAGATAGCAGACTTCATCGTTGGTGTTGTTGTGGTAGGGTTCTGGGGTGGATTCATGGTTTCATTGTTGCCATCTGCAGGAGACTATGCAAATGTATATGATGTAAATGCCACGCCCATCCTCGTACTCCCCCTACCGGGCACATGGCAGCATTGCAGAAACGGTTCAAGCAGGGTTGAGATTGTGTTGAGGTTGCCTGCTGTTTTAGACTAAGTCTTTGTGGTTGGTCTGTAATCCCAACAGGGCAACGAGTTTACTGTCAAAGACTACACCAGGTGATTAACTGGTTTCAATCAAAGAAGCACCAGCAGCTAGTGTTATATTTGGTTAGTGGAAAAATCTTGATGGCCATACATGCCTACCACTGGACATCTGATACCTCTTACAGATGGACACCACTGCTTTGAGATATTAAAATGGGTCAGAAAAATAATTCCAGAAAAAAATCCAGTAGCAGTAGTAGTTGGTAAATCTTCAGTGGATTTTGAGGTTCCTCTACTTTAACTGGACTAAAAGTGAAGATTAGGTGTACAGTGTTAAGGTAGCTTTGGCTGTGGAGGGTGTCGAGTTGAAGCCTGATCTCCACTGGTGTCAGAGGATGTGGCAGCTAGTATCTGTAAAACCAGACACTAACAGTGGATAGACACTTTTTTCATTTCATAGTGTTTTTTTTTATTTCTACCTGCACTATATTTTTAAGCAGCAGACAAATGATATGAATACAATAACAATGAAATTATGATATACAGTATACTGCACCATTGTCATACTTTATTATGAAGCAGTATTTTCATTAAACAAACTTTTTAGGCTGCACTTTTACATTAAACACTTGCTATGTGTATTACTATAATGCATGTGTTACTTTCAGTTTTAGATATTTGACTCACTGCCACTTCAGGCATAATGTTTAATTTAAACAAAGTGCTATAAAAGCTTCCTTGCAATCTCCTAGGTTTAGTATTACAACTGGATAAATGTACCTTTAAAATACATGTCTGAAGTGTGACAGATTATAAAAGCAGCATACACCCAGTTGGCAGTTTATTAGGTACACCCCTAAAGCTAACACAGTCTAATGCAGCAGTCCTGTAATAAATCCGCCTTCATGTAGGTGACGGTTATTCTTTGTTGAAACTGTTTTAGGGATGTGTTTTTTCAACTGTATGATCATTTTGGAAGATGTGGTTTGTGGTGCTGTTGAATTATTAGGTAGACTAAATAAGAGAAACTCCTCTCTGTACAATTACCACCTTCATGAAGGAGGATTTATTACAAGACTGTTGATTAGATTGTGTTTGCTTGAGCTAGGCATACCTAATAATCTGCAAACTGAGTATGTGACAAACTCATGTGGTCACCACCTCAGTCATGTTTTAACAAGTTCTCTGAAGACACACATGGGTCATGGGGGCTGCAGTGAACTACTGGGCAAAAAGGTCAAATTATTCTTATGTACTGGTCATAACTAATAGTGTAGAGGATTCTACTACTTCTGTCTGTATTTTCTAGCTTTTAGATATTTTAATAGTTGTTCCTTTGGAGAGTTCCTCCTGTAATGCCCAGGCCTTTCAGGGTTTGTTGAAATGTTGAAAATCCACCAACACCTCTGCCATTTTTTCATTTAAATAAGAGAGTTTACATTTATTTTACAGTACTAATGGTCCTTGGTCATTTTACTAAATCATCCTTAACTCATCTATGTCCACAGGCTGTAATTATATAATGTAAATGGATGAGGTTTCATAGATTGTACCCAACCTGAGGTTGAGTTTCCATAAAAAACTGGTTCACATGAAATAAACACTTAGTCTTGAATTGTTACTGGGACGTTTTTGGTACAGGAGATCCTTAAGGTGTCTGGTTTGTTACAGATGAAGGTGAAAGACACTGTCACAGCTTTATGTCAATTATTACAACAGGTGATTTTTGATTATTTGCTTATCAGATGTTTTGCTCAGGTGGTGAAAAGTTTGACATTGACACAATGGAGTATTTAAACCCTTAACGTTACACTCACTGTTTTGAATATTGTTGACTTTTTAGAGAGGATGGCGAACTGGAAGATGGAGAAATAGATGATGAAGGGATTGGAATTGAAGAGGAAAACAAAGAGGCTACAGAAGTGAATGAGGACAAAGACAAGGAGAAGGAAAAAGAGAAAGAAAAAGACAAGGCTAGAGAAAAAGAAGAAAAGACTCACAGGCATTCCAGGAAAAGATACAAAAAGACCAGAGAGAAGAGGAGGTCTAAAAGGAGGAGACATGACAGACCGAAAGTAAGATGCTGTTATACGTGTTATTACAACATAGTATCTGTTAATGCTATGGTAAATTGGGGCATGAATGCGAACTACTTGGACTAATTCAAAATTTACTTTAATGTTGTTTTTTCCTCCTGTTCCCCTTGCCTTCTCCTCAGCATCACTCCCCTTCCAGCAGCTCCAGCTCTGACAGTTACGACTCTGACTACGACCGACCAGAAAGGCCCAAAAACAGGAAGAACCAGGGATCTAGCCGCGAGTCCGATGGCCAGTCCTCTCAGGTGAGTTCACCACAGTCGGCACACTGATGCTTCATACTCACGTAAGCATTATTAGGTGACATTTTTGTCTTTGACTTGACAGCACGGGCGAGATTCAAAGGGAAGCCACAACAATTCACAGAAGTCGCCGCTACACAAGACCAGCGAGTTTGACAAATACAGCGACTACAGTGATGACAAATATGATTATGATGAAGAAGAGGATGATTATGAAGATGACATGTCTGAGTATCAGCAGTCAAAAGATTCATCCTCCCCAAGTCAGGGAAAGCGATACCATGCTAAAGACCAGATGAAGAGAGGAAGTATGAGGGGGCTGAAACAACAGCAGTGTATGAATGCTTTTCAAATTCAAATACATTTGACATCTGACAACTGCTGTAATGATTTATCTAGAATTTACTGTGAGTGATAAAATGTTCAGTGTACTAACCTAAAAACATCTTCAAGTAAGTAAAATTAGCAAATGTAATGTTGTGCATCAATAGAATACAGAGTTTGATCACTTCTTCCATAATATGATTTTCAGTTGGGCAGAGGGGAAGAGGTAGGGGGAGTGGACCAGGAAGGGGACGAGGGATGCTCAACAAGAACAAGAAGCTGAAGGGCAAACCATGGGGAGGACGTGGAAGAGGTCGAGGAGGAGACCAGGGCATGGAAGACATGGCACTGGTAAATATGACCTTGAGAATTAAATGATATTTATATTAGTATTAATTTAGTCATGGGGAATCAAGCTAAAGTAATGCACGTGCAGCATTGTTATTGTCTGCATCATATTAATTTTTAGAAAACTGACCGACAGTCAAAATGTGAAAAATAGGCTGCTCGATTACAGTATTCACAGTGAACCAATAAAATAAGAAAAAGACTATGCTTTATATGACGATAACAAATTAGGCAAAACTGAGACCACATTGTGATTATTTTGTGTCATAGGAAGGAAAAAATCCCTCCGCTTTTCAGAAAAAACGGCCAATTATGAGCAAGGAGTTCATCAATCAACACACAGTTGAACACAATGGCAGATACATCTGCAAGTATTTCCTGGAAGGTCGATGCATCAAGGTACAGCTTCAGTAATGTTCTTTTGCTTGCTTTAATAACATAAGCCTATTTGTGCTAAAATGAAAAATATATTTAAAAGAAAAAATCACTTTCCTGGGTTAATGATAACATATTTTTCTCTATACAGGGGGAACAGTGCAAGTTTGAACATGAACTTGTTATACCAGATAAGAAAAAGGAACTTTGTAAATTTTACCTCCAAGGATACTGCAGTAAAGGAGATAAGTGCATTTATATGCACAATATCCTTCAGTAATGACTATGGTTGTTAATTACATTTTGTGAAATTGCATAATTAAGTGAAATCTCATCATACCTTGTAATTAGTCCTGTACCTTAACCAGTGATGCACATGAATACCCATGCAAGTTCTTTCATACTGGAGCCAAATGTTATCAAGGGGACAACTGCAAATTTTCCCATGAGGTTTTGACCGATGTGACCAAAGAGCTGCTTGATAAGGTAAGGAAAAGAGAGAATTAAGATTTTGGCTTTTAACACCTCTGTGCCATAAGATTCCCAGCTCAATTGTGTTATTTCTGCTTTCTGACTCATTTGGCAGATAATTAACACTGAAGAGGAGAACGCTCGTGAAGATGAGTTGGAGCTAGAGGATCTGAGAAAACAGGGTATCATCCCACTTCCGAAGCCGCCTCCTGGGGTGGGGTTGCTGCCAACTCCCGGTCAGAGCAGCCCTACTGATGGAGCCTCTGGCCAAGCGGGGAAGAAGATTCCCTCCCTGTTTGAAATCAAGGTTCAACCTACTGTAGACCTAGCACACAAAATTGGTCTGAGGTAACTAAATAATGGTGTAATCAAACTCAAATCAAAGAGCGCTTGGAGCTTATCCTCAATCTGACGGTCTACTTTATTTTTCAGTGGATCCAACTTCCCCCAGACTCAGGGTGAAGGCACCACCTCATTTAGTGGAGGTGCAGAGGATGCACAGAGTGGAGCTATGTTGCCTTCAGGCCCCTCTGCTTGTTCCATTCCTCCCCCTGGATCACCTGGTTCCATGAGTCACCCCACTGGACCACCCATGCCACAGAGCCCCCCAGGACAGCACCCACCACATGAATTTCCAGTGCAGCCGCAGATCCCTTCCAGCCAACCTCCACCCTTCCATGCAACCAGACCCAGTACCAACCCTCAGATGAATATGCAGAGGCCCCCTTTCCCTCCTATACCAGATGTACAGATGTTGCAAAGTCTCTTCCCCTTTCCATCATTAGGTCAGAACCCAGCAGAGTTTATCGGCAGCTTTCTCCATAACCAGGCTATGGGTCAACAAGGTATCATATTCATCTAGTGATCCAGTAGGTTAATTACCTTTGAACAGTTTCAGAAATTGCAAAAATATTTTTTATTTGATTTTCAATGTTGTAGACCCTGGTCTGGCCTTCATAACAAACCTCCAGCAGCAGATGGGTGCAGAGTCACAGTTGCAGTCTTTACCATCAGCAATACAGAAAGCGATATTTTTACACCTGACACTGCAACAGCAGCAGCAACAAGAGGAACATCCACAGGGGAGTGAGCCACAGAGAGCAGAAGGCCAGGATGATAACGCAAACAGAGGTAAGTGTCCGAGTGCAAAGAATGAGGTTTGCTGAATTAGGATAAAATGAAACCCAGTAAAGCCCAGACCCCACTCAGAAATGGAAAGTGAAAAGGCCTGTATTGTGCTGGAAAATGGTCCAAATACATTTGAAAACCTTTTGGAACAAGCCCCAGGTGTGTCAAGGTGTTCATAATTTCCAAATCTCCTCTGAGAGAACAAACATTTAATTATGAATGTATCTTCTTTTTTTGGAGATGAAACTACAAACTGGTACTCGAGTGATGAGGAGGATGGGAGCTGTGTTGCCTCCATTCTGAAATCTCTTAAGAAACAGAATGAGATGCAGCTGTCTCAGACCAACCCCACCCAGGCTGCTGCAGTGGCTCCACCACTGGGTGATCCTCGGCTTGTGAAGGAGAGGGCCCCACCCAGTGACCCTCGTATGAAGACAGACCCTCGACAGCGACCCCCTGATGTAAAAAAGGAGTCAGATGGGGCTGCAGATCCACGGTTCTCCAGAGACCCCAGGAAGATGAGACTGATGGAGACAGGTTCCTCTCGCCTGCAGAGCCACCCTGTGCCTCAGAAACCTCCTGCAGGAGAGGAGGAGGATGATGGAGAGCGGGAGCTCAGGGACAGAGCTGTTCTCATCCCTCTAGAGGCCAGCCCCAGTGTGGTACTGCGGGACCCTCGTTGTCAGTTAAAGCAGTTCAGCCACATTCGGGTGGACATTCTGCTCCAGCGACCTGCCTTTGCTCAAACAGTGGTATGGGCCCCTGAGGACCTCATCCCATCCCTGGTGCCCAAACAGGAACACTCCATCAACCTGCCACTTCCACCCCTAATTGCTGATGCTCAGATGAACCGAGCAAGCCTGCCTGACCATCCTCCCATCTCCAGTCCTCCACTGTCTGATCCGAGACTGGCTACTGCACGTTTGAAAGAACGTCTCAGTCGACTGGCTTCCGGATCTCTAGAGTCTCGATCCTCCACTGAGAGACCTGTGGATCCTCGACAGCAAAAGACTCTGGACCCCAGACTCAAGCGTACAGGAAGTCTGGACTCCAAGCTACTCGGTCAGAAAGAGCCCTCGTCTGGGGGTGGAGTTGTTGACCCTAGGTTACAGAAGGCCAGTGCCAACTCTGCTCCTCACACTGCCAGAGCCAAGCCAGAGCCTGAGAGGTTACCACCGTATGCCCCTCGTCTAGCATCCTCTGGAGTTGGGCTGGAGAGTCCTACTACAATTCTTGGGGGCATCAGTCTGTATGATCCTCGTACTCAAACAGAGCCTACTCAGAGGGAGCAAGCAGAGCCTCCTAAAAAGGCAGGGATTCTGAAACACCCTGCAAAGAAAGACATTACTCCACCCTTATCACTCTCACCAACTCAACGAAGTGGCTTATTCGAGGAAGCCAAAAGCACAGAGGCTGTCTCAGATCAGACTCCACCCTCTGGTTCTCCCACTGTGCCTCCAGCCTCACTTGTCAAACCCCCTGCAGTTCATAACCTCCCCATCCAGGCACTGGCTGGGCTAATCCGACCCCAGTACACCGACACCAGGCAGGCCAAATTAGGAGGACAGGGCTCTACAGGAGCACAAGAAGAAGCAGAAGAAAAGAAGGAGCAGGAAGAGACTATGGAGGAGGAACCAAAACAGGAGGATCCAGAGGAGGAGGAAGATGACAGAACACTTAAAGATGTGTTCAAGACTTTTGATCCCACTGCTTCACCTTTCTGTCAGTAAACACTCCAGTATGAAAATACAGAGTTTCATAAGGTTTGTACGAATGAGACACATCTATTAATCATTATTTAGCTTTACACAAATCTATTTATTTCTGTATATAAATGATGGTGTATAGAGTCACATATAATTACTAGTGCACCACACATTTGACAGTATGGAGGTGATGCTGGATATGTGCACAAATGCACTGAAGAGGTCCTTTTAAAATAATTAATGCAGAAAAGTGTTTTAAAAGTGCATATGTTAAAGTCTTGGTCATTTTTATGAATGCTATAGACCTGAAAGAAAAAAGATTTTACTAAGAACGGGTTCATATGTTATTTACTAAACTCTGTATTTGTTTCTGGCATTACACCCGGTAGAAGTTATCATTCACTCAAGTAATCAATTGAGAAATTATGAGAATTGCCTTGAGAATATTTGTATTTACACATTTATTCCAAGGCACTTGTGCTCACTTAAGGGATTTTTTTTTGTCAACATGGTATGAGAAAAAAGAATTCGTGCGGGTACTTTTGACTAAGTTTGCCTGAAAGTTACAGACACAGTACGTGTGCTGATGTTGAGATGCAGATATTCATGTGTTCCTTGCTTAAATTACAGTACAGTAAAGTCCACTGTTAAGCTAGCTTGCAGAGGCTTTTGTCCCATTTGAGACAGTTCCCTTTTTATCTGAGAAGAAACGTTGTATAATTTTGTAACATTGCAGCTGTTCAATTTCAAGTTTTGTACATTGTTGGACTTCACTATAAATGGCCTAAACCTGTTGAGGATGTTACTCTTATAAGCCTTTTAAACTTGCTAGCAGTAAATGGATGTTAATTGTAATTCCTCAAAACATTCACTGCTAGCAAGCTTGTAAGTAGCTCTTGAAATGTCAGTCTTTTTTATTTTTTCCTCAAAACATATCTTTATCAGAATAAGATGTTAAGAAGGTATTCTAGTGTATCATGCAAAGATAGAAATACTATCTTGGTGATAATGCAGATATATCAAGGGGACATTACCTTGTAGTTTGTTTTAACTGACAGCTCTGTAAGCTCGGAAAGTTACTCTTGTTTGACTGAGATTAAGCTATTTACTTTTCTATTGTTTTCATAACTGACATTGTAAATGCTTATTTTGTATCACAAGTAAAGTGTGTTTTTGAGTGTTATAATGAATAATGCTTTATTTTTTCCTGTTAGTATGGTGGTTATTGTTGTGATGTTTTAACAACATACATGCTTGTCACATTTCAGTAATTTTATTATGAATATGTGAAATAAAGAGATCAGCAATTTTACATAAGAGCTGAACATCAAGCAACGTCTATCATGTTGGAGGGCGTGTTCATTATCATATCAGATACCAGTCCCAATACAAAGTGTTTCATGTCCTCCATGTTTGATGCAGCTTTTCAGGGGTTTAGTGGGCTCCATATCTAGCAGTGGGTAGTGGTCACTTGTAACTGTCGTGCACGCCAACTGTTGGGACAAGAGTGGGTGCCACAGCATGTGATGATGTCTTCCTCAAACCCAGCTCATCTGTCTCTAGGTTAGAAGTCTGCTGGGCTCGATGGATCTCTAGGTTCCTCCTCCACTGGAAACACAAAGCTGTGGCCTCTGCACCGTCTGAGTTTGGCTCAGGCTGCTTCAAACCCTGAAGCAAGAGTGGAATTGTATGGTTTTAATGTCTCAGGAGGCAATTCACAGGAGGTCAGATAAATTCATAGGACCTCATAGCATTACAGGTTTGTAAGTACAGGATATTTGTGGTGTTATATTTACTGTGATGCAGGCAGTCTCTGCAGCATGGACCCCACGTAGGACTGTTTGGAGTAGATTCTGGGCGTTCTTCACCAAGATCTCATCAGATGATTTGCACTGAGGTGTTACAGCATTGACACTAAGAAAACAATGAAGAAACATTATTACTTTCATTTACACTTTTTAAAATATTTCAGTATGTTTTGTACTAAGTTGATGTCCAAGCTCCTCTGACCTGGAGATGATATTGAGCTGGCTGGTGATGGTGAGAATCTGCTCAACAACGAGGGACAGCTCAACTGTACACTGTTTATCCAGGCAGTGGTTGGCAATAACTCTTATAAACTGAGTCACTGTCTGGCAGTTCAAGATCACATCTTTGGCTGCAGCGACAAATGCCTCTTTATTCTGAGAAAAGGAATGACTGTGAATAATCGTTCCTGCAAATATCAAGACTTGGGTAGAAAAGTGGCCCCTGGTGGTCCTTACCGGTATTGGGCCTTTCTTCTTCAAGTACTGAGTCATATAACATATTGTGTCAGCCATCTTCCTGGTCACCTGAACAATTCTGTTGTCCTTGGGGTCCCAGCTGTCACTTTCTTGCTTTAGGTAAAGGGAGGTGTAGGTCAGTGAAGATTCTTTGAATGCACCAGACCCAGCACGATCCTGCAGAGAAAAGCAAGCAAATGAATTACTGTGACATAAAGGAATCACTGATCGGTAAAATCTTGTCATGAAATACTTACATTTTTTTCCATGGTTCCAGGTCCATATTTAGCCACAGCTAGTACGTTCATATTGGGTCCTGCAGTATCTACACTTTCAGTGTCACCTTTCTGCCAGGACATTGTTGTGAGAAAGGGAAATTCCACTTCTTTGACTTTACATGGGATTGTAGCCAACACCTCTGTGATATCCTCAGGTGTTCTTCCCTCTAGACCAGCTTTGATGTGCTCTTTAACCTCTTGGTGAATCCCATCTTGCTTCTTGATCTCCTCCACCACATAGTGAGCTTTGGCTGACCAGCACTGTATCTGCACTTCCAGACTGAGGGTGTCACAAATGTAACACGTCTCTACCATGAGCCTTGCCTTGCTAATTATATCTGAGATTTGAAAAGACAGGTGGTCATTGATAGATCTCAGATTGGAACGTGCGTGTGGGTCACGGATGTAGTTTAAACAGTCCTCGACTCTTTTGGTTGCAGATTTTACATTTTCAATAAGTGTTTGTACTGCATTTTCAAACTTTTGCTCTGCATCTTCTGTGTCATTCTCTCTGAAATGTTGAGCAGCAAAACAAGCACTACTGACAATATCTTGAAGTGCAGTGTCATAACCCTTATTTGCTTTGCTTAAATGACCACAAAGAACTCTGATTTTAATAAAAAGATGTCTTTGAAAAAATTCTGATTTTGCAAGTTGCACCACACTTGGCATTATGTCAAGCTCTTCGGCAGCTCTCAGGTAGGTTTCAGTCAGTGTTTTTAGCTCATCCTGGTATCCTGTTAACTGTTGTGATTTGTAAGCACTTTTGCAGTTTAGGCTGGTGAGCCTTGCTGCCTCTTGGATTCGAAGCGAGTTCTCAGACAACACTGATAGTTGTTTCTGAGGGCTCAACTGGTTCATTGCAGTTGAAGTTCCCAAAATCTTATCCATAGAATTCAGCACAATCTGAATAGATAGGCCCCAGAGGATACAGAGTCCATCTAGCTGATCTATCTGACCTTCCAGTGAGGAAGAGAACTCAGCCAGGTACTTTGTGTTGTTATGGACTTTGTTCAGCTTACTGTGTAAAACACTGAATGTTTCTTGGCTGTCATGTTGTAAGGTTAAATCAGATGATGTCAAGACCTGGACCATGTCGGCACATAAAGTCATCACTTCATTTAGTTGTTGTGTAACAGTGGCTACTATTGTTGAGAGATTTTTTTGCAGCTCAGTGTAAACAACATGATACCAGGTTCCAGCTACTGGCAGTAAAACCTTTCGGATATTGTAAATAAGGTCAGAAAACTGTGTGCTGTACTTGTAGATGCTCTCTGTGCTCATTGCTGAGCTCATTGCTGTCTCTTGAGCTGTTCGGACAAGCAGCGGAGTCACCGACACCAGGTTTGCTCTAAAACTTTCCAATGTTTGGCAGTCAATCACATCGACAATGGACAGGGCTTCCTTTGCAGCTTGCGTGTAACAGTTTGACAGCTCAAGAACACCAGTGCAGGCCTGGTTGAGCACTGGCACATCTTTCCTTTTAGTCAGAGTCACAACTTCATTCAAGAGGGGTAAAAGGCCAAATTCAAGAGGTTTGTGGGTCAGCTGGGGCACATCGACGACAGCTGGGGCTTTTAAATCATTGCTGTAATATTTATGAGTCAGTTCCGCTTCTATGATTTCCTCATGTGAGTGCTTCTTCTCTTGTTCAGTATGGGAATCCCTCTCCCTAATCTCCACAACAGGAGAATAAGAGCCTCTTATGATATGATCTAGGTTCAGTTCAAGGTTCAGTTCACATGTGTCTTTGACTGTTAAACATGACTGTGAAGTTTCAGTCTGACGTGCCCGCTCTCGCAGTGGGCTGAGGAGATGTGGATGCTGTTGGCCATCCAGTCCCTCTCTTAGCACTTTAAAATGTTGAATGACAGTGGAAACATTGTTCGAGAAGGTAGAATAGGCATCCACATTGAGACTGGGACCTAAAAGCATGTTCTTAACTGACTCACCCACTTTGGTCTGGGAAGACTGAACCTGCTACAGCAGGACCAGGAGGCCATTCCTGTAGATGGGGTCATCACTCCTGTCCAGGAGCCTCCTCACTGAACGAATCACCAGCTTCATGTGACAAATGAGGTTTGTTGCATGCTCATTAAACAGTTTAGAGCTCTGATCTCTGTACGCTGCATCACATCCATGCCGGTCACTGATCATCTCATTTATACCAATACTAGTGAACTCTCTCACATCCATTACATCACTCAATGCATCCTGAAGCTGATTAGTCTCCTCCTCCCATTTTTGACACACCTCATGAAGCCTTTGAACAGTTTGCATTGAATTATCTGGCAGCTCCAGTGAAAGTGGAGCAATTTGAGCTCTTAGTCTTGTAAGGCATGCACGTGAGTTCTCCACGTTCTCCAGACTTTTTGCATCGACAGCCAGAGATGAGATAAAATTTGCCACTTGGATTATTTGATAAGTGGAAGATATGAAATCTTCAACTAAAGGCTGAATAAAGTTCAGATCCATCTTCACAGGAGAATCTGCAACCAGGACTTGTTTTGTTACACCTAAAAGACCATCATATGTTGAAGATGCTACAAGAAACGTGTCCAAGACCTCATAAAGAACAGCAGTCATCATGGCATTGTCAAGCATTTGTATTTGATGCACCATCCAAGTGTAGGTCATCTCAAGGGTCTGCTCAGAACCATCAGAATCCTCTGACTTTGAAATCCTTTTTATATCTGACCAGAACTGCAGGATGTAACGACAATGAGCCACCACTCTTTGCTGAAACTCTCTACGTGAAGAGTTTGCCACGACCATACAGTGAAACACAAATTCTCTTACCATGCTATCAAAGCCAGTGCCTTGAATTGAGGAGGTGGAGGAACTTGTAAGTAGTTGCAACAGGCTGTTCTTCCTCTTTGTGTAATACCCGCAAGGACCTAGTGATCTGCCATGACATTCACTTTTCAGAGTTGTAACAATGTCGCTCACAGTGCTCTGCACTTTGTCTAGAATGTACCTCTTGGCTGCCTGTGCCGGCTCACTTGTAGGGTGTTTGATGGTTGTGCACATGGCTGTGTGTAACATAGAGATGCACCTCCTCAGGGTGTCCAAGGATTCAAGAAGTTGTTTTGTTTGACTGGGATCCTGCAAGGAACCTGCTCGCTCCATTGTCAGACTGTTGAGGAGAAGCAGGGCATCAGAAAACACCTGAAAAGATTTGAGCAGGGACTTCATGTCAGAAGAGGAGCCCAGCTCAGAGAGGTACTCCAAAACCCGATCAGCAGCAGATATGACTCTTCTGACAGCGGCATCATCATCCACTAAAAGAACCTAGGAGCAGAGAGACAGAAGAGAGGTTAGCTGTTATTGCACCCAAAGAGTTTTAGCATTTTTAGCCATGCTAGAGACATAAGGCTGTTGATAGAGACATTTGTCTGTCACCAGTCAGTCCACCACTTTAGTTCACACTGAAATAGCTCAACAACTACTGGGTAGATTGCCATAACGTGATACAAACATTCATAGTCCCATATGGCACTTCAGCTAGTGAAAGTCTTGCTGATACACTCATGCTGACCATATATACGTATGTGTTTGTATGGACATAATCAATATTATAATCCTACATTAATACCAGGAATATTTGAACTAGTATTTATAATAACATTGTGCATGTTTAGGCCAAAAATCATGGAGGAATAGCTGAGATATTCCAGCTGTAACACTTAAAACAACCAGCACTGGTGTCTTGTAGGACTGAGTAGTATTTCCATTTAAGGAAACCTCTGAGAAAGTATAAGGCAGATGCAGCTGTTGAAGATTAATGTACTGGAACCTGCTTTTAATCAGGTGATGCCTGGCTTTGGAGATTGCAGCCTTTCTGTTCTCTGTTTATTTAAAAAGGGGTAATACTTTATAACATCGTGTATATTTGGTAATACATTTGTAGACATTTATTTTTACCAGTAGAAGAAAACTCAAGCATTACTCTGACTACTCCAAGGAAGACATTTTGTGTGGCAATGATGAGTTCCTCTTTGTGTTCAGGCAAACTGGGCTGGATGTTGAGTTTCTGGGCTGCCAGCAGCACATGTTGTCCAGACACAGTGACTGACTCTAAGAGAGATGACATCTCCATGCGCAACACTTCATCCTCTGTCTCGCCGATATGCCTAAAAAGAAAAACAAATCCCTGGTGTTTATTTGATAATATATGTCAGTCTCTTGCATAAATTAAACAGTGTCACATGTTGAAATGTGACTTTTTGGATTAATGCACCTGTACATCTATATTTCACACTGTAATACCTGGAAGCCACTGCTGCCATGTTCTCAGTAGCTTTAGCCACTCCCCGAGCTGCTCCCTCCAGCTGGCTGAACTGTTCAGGTTCCTCCGCACTGTCACATAACAGCACCAAGTGGCATAAATGACTTGCGATTGGTGCAACCACCTGCTCCACTGCTGCAGTCCTAACCAACCCATGATCCAACAAAGATGACATGGTTAGCAGAATAATTCACTCCAGTCAAAAGAAAGTGAGCAGCTCCATTTGCTGTAGTGTTCCTGCTGTAGTTAGTGTGGTAGCTGTATTAATAATTCAAAGTACTCCACAAAGGAGTCTGTGCTTGATGACGGTGTTTCATAGCAACTGGTGCCACCTGACCAAGGCAACACAGTCCTATCAGGTTTATCAGTCATTAGCTGCCTTTTATGCTTGACATATTGTTGTGTATGCAAACCTGGCAGCAGAATGTACTGTGTGCTGCAGCTGCACATTATTGTCATTATCATTTAATCTATTGATTACAATTTTTGACTAACTGATTATTCCTTTGGACAAGTGTCTTTAGCAAAAGTGGGACATTAAAGCTTTTTTTTATCCTGAAAACTCTCCACCACACTAGGCTACTTGTCAACACTATGTGTATGACATCATCATTGTGGGCCAAGTGGAACTTCATGGAAAATGGACTGGGAAATAATTGGACCTAGATAAGTAAATATGAATTGACCAGCTGTTACAGACATTCCATGTTAATAAAGCCTTACTGACAAAAGCACTGCACATGTAGCTCACTATCCCACTTTAACAGCTGTCCCACAAAGCCTTAAAAACCTGATATGAGCATATAAGCAAGGAAGTAGCCCATTCTATATGCACCCCCAGAAAAAGTCAGAGAAAAGGTGAAAAATGCTTGTCATAATTTCCAACCAATAGTACTAAACCCACTGAGATTTAATTTGCAATGAATGAATCTTGCATGGTATAATGGTGAAAAGCACAAAATCGTCCTATTTGTGAAATTAAAAATTGACAACCTAAATTTGCTGATTAATAATCTGTTGATGGGCTAATCATGTCAGTTCTAAGATATACAGTACCTACATGCTATGTAAGATACAGCAATATTACTGCAAATATATTCTAAAGATTTTTATGATGGCTTTGGATATGTAGATTTTTGTTTTTCCCATTCTTGGGTTTTTGCCTGCACATTCATAGCAAAGCCGCCACCAGAGAGCACCACACACCATCAAAATACTAGTGAGCAAACCAAAAACCACACTGGACCCAAGGTGAAAAAACATCATACAGAGTCATGAAATTTCACTCTAAAATTTATCAACAGATAAATATAAATCTCAAACATGACTTTGAACATCAAACATATGACACACTATATTGGAAATGATATTAAGTGACAGTAGTATACTCAGGACAAAACCCCCACTAACGGTGTGATGAACAGTGACAACAAATATATAAACATAATATAACCATCACAATTAAAAAATTACCAAAAAATGTCAAGTGTCAGTTTCCCTGCATACAGATATAGCATTGGTTTAACGCATGCAGAGGGAAGACGTGAATATGTACAGCATACGCTGTGATGCCAGTGGAACTGAATGGTAAAATAAAGTGTATCAGAACAATTAAATATACACACAGCACAACAGAGAGCCAAGCAATCATAATGAGCCATAAAGTGTCTTAGCACTTAAGTATAGCACTTAAAATAAAATTTTTGATCTTTGGCATTGCATGTTTAAATCTGACTCCAGTCTACTGCAAAACAACCCAGAAAGTCATGAGATTGCAGGGTTTCATCCTCACATACCTTTCATTTGTTTCAATATAATTCAATTACACCAGATGGTCCATGATAAATTCTTCAAAACTGAAATCAAAGCTTATTTTTTTTGGCATAATTTTACTTTTTAGAAAATGGGATTTTGCAATAAAGCTTTTAAAATGTATAACTTTAATTCACTGTGTTCTGCAAAATTCAGTTCACAATCTAGCTCAGCATTTAACAGACTGGGGGGGTAAAAATCAAAGCACCGATGAACTGTGGACTGTGGAAGACTTTCAGAGCACTGACATCTCTCCATGTTGACTTAAAATGAGTTTTCCCCCTGAGCCCCAAAGAGCTCATTTATATGTGGTGACTGAGTGCAGTACGTTCCCACCTATTCTTAGAGCATTACTCATGCCATAATGCCCTGTAAATGACTGTAGGTGGACTCCAATCGTGGACAGTAACGTATCTTATAGTTCATGTTAAAACCCATTGCCTACTAACATAGTGAAATTAATGCAAATATGGCCTGGTTCGGTAAAATATAGAAAGGTTTTAGAACTAAATCATCATCAGGTCATTTGTGAATCGACTCCTATAGTGAATACAATGAAAAATTTTTCTTTCAGTGAGAATTCACAACCTATTCAACTAAGATATCCTCAAAGCTTTTTTTTTTGGAGGGGGGTCCATCTAAAAAGGCAGCTGCATACCTGAGCAATAGTTCCTTGCAAAAGCAGCCTTACTGCACATGGCACTCCCAAAGCATTTGTTTATTCAAAGCATTGGAGAGAGGAAAGGTAAAATTTTGAGTCCTTCACATTCACGTTTGTTACATCCACTTCTATCACATACAAAAACCTTGGTTAAAAAGCCAGAACAAGTGGAATGGTAATGTGAATGGCGGCTACAACCCATCCTCTACATTTTAGGCATGGATAATAAAGGAAACACAACAAATAAAGTGGTAATAGGAAACTCTACAGTGCAGTTGATTAACACATGCTGAAGGAGGACCTAAAGACCTCAGAGAGCACTTCAGCCTTCAGAGCCTCCAAGGCAGCTCGGACAACATCAGCATTTTAATCATTGTGTGTGTGGGTGTAAAACACAAAGTTAGTGTTAGATGATTATCAGTGGGAGGCAGGGGCGGTCAGATGTGTGATACAGATATTCATAAGCTAAAATAGTACAGAAGAGATATAATCTTTCACTCTCCGAAAGAACTGAATATACAAATGACCCCACTCACATACTATACAGGACATATTTTTGGCATAAAAAAGTAAAGCTATGGAGCCAAGGCATTCATTCTTATCAAACATCAGTGCTTTTAGGAAAACATACTAGATCCAGTATGTTTATAATGGCCTTCTAAACCTCATCTTGACTCAAAGCCCAGTTTTATACAATATGGCTTAAAGTCTAGGTAAAAAAATAAATTTGCCATATAATAACCCTGAGGGTTTTGTTGTCCACCACTATTCATGCCATCTCCACATCCCACTGTGGATGCAGATCTCCACCACAACAACCCTGCTCTGCTGGCTGGGAATGACCTCCTTTGAGATTAGCTGAACTGCCCAGCAAGTGCCCCCTGGCAAGCCACATTGTCACCTTAGAAGCTTGTTTCCTGGACCTCAACCCACTGAAAAAAATAAATCAAGTCTCCAAAAAATATGGAGAATATTCTTCTCTTCCACATATGGAAGATTGAAGGGCCTGGTGCCACGGGGTTGGCTGGGCCTGTGAAACTCCTTGCTATTGGATCCCTCCTGACCCAATCCCTAGTCTCACTGGCTCTTCTGTGGCTCCTGCTACAAATCTCAGTGATTCTTTTCCATCCAGTCCCAGCTTTCATCACTGTCCTTCCTGTTCTTTTCAGCCTCAATGATCTCTCTGTAGCGCCGACGGAAGAAACCCATCTGTCAAAGAGCAGGAGGAACAAATATTATGGTGGTTAGTAAGGTGTATTTGTGGTCAGATCTTTCGTTTCTTGTTTCAGCTACACTACAGCTACAACCCACATACACATTTTATTACTGCTTGCCATTTTCCAAAGCATATCATAAGCTCTCTGAAACATACTTGATATGGGTAAAGCAAAGCAGTGACCTGAAGGCTGTCCACTAGCTGCTGGAAATACCACTCACATATATGCTAAGACAAATGCCATGATTTCATTGTCTCACTGGTACATAAAACAACACACCCCCACCAACACTGTCCCCTTTGTTGTTTTAACACAGGGCACATAACTCCATTAAAACCACAACCTCTTCAGTTTATATTTTGGTTATTATATGGCTTAAACAAACACAATATATATTAATTGGCAAGTTTCAGAGGTACTTTCAGGTGGATTATGTTACCTGTGGACAGAGCTAAGCTAGTTGTCTGTGTGGTAATGCAGTATTATATATTTAAATTTAAATTATCCTCTTCATTCAGTTGCATTATGACAAACATTGGATGGTGCATTGTATCATTGAATTTTAAATACAGTGCATGCAAGTTCAGATTTCTTCTGTAGTGAAAAATGGCCGGCAGTAATATGAGGAAGTTAATAAGCTAAACTACACAAAGCCACAAGCATGGACAGAGGAAAATCAAGTCATTACTTCCTAGAAATAAGCTGTTTTTTTCCTTTTTTTACTGTTGTTACTTTGCTCTAATTCCACGCATTTATCAAGGTAAAGTAGACGTGAATGGTCAGATTCAGGTGTGTATCTAAACAAAGCAGCAACTTGTGGTTTTGCCTTTCTCACTACAACGCCATTTATTTATCTGCATTTGGCTACATATGTTGTTTATTGACCTGCACTCTCCTCAGGCATTTCCCAAAAAGAGCAATACAGGACATGTGTTTCCCTTGGGGGGGGGGGGGGGGGGGGTGGTGTATTTATCCGAGGACCAGCATTCCAAGGTTCAAGTTGTGGTATTCCCAGTGGAAAATAAAGAAGTTAAAAAGAAAAGACATTTTGTGCTAGCAGGGCCTCTGGACATCAGTGTAATTGCCAGGACCCCTTTAGATTCCTCTTTCATGTGAGTGGTATGGTGCGAATTATCATCCAGTCTGTGATTTGTCCTTAACATGGCTGTTAAAGGCCCAAACCATGCTCTCACCCCCACCTCCAGCCATCTCTGTACAACTAGATACTGTACTGACATCTAATCAGTTTGACAAAAGGCTTCTGTCACACAAGTTTAGCAATTACTGTAGCTTCAGCACAGCATCACTTGAAAAAAAGGCAATTTTGTGACAGATGTGAGCTGTTCATGTGTCAGTGTACCTTCCAGAGTAGCACAGCTAACAGCAGAAAGATGAGGATTCCCGCCAGCAGACTGATGGCAATGATCCAGCCAACTACATAACCCCTTGGCTCCTGACTGTGGAGAGCCTCAAAGACCAGCTGAAATACAACAAAGCTTCAGTGAGTCACACATGTAGGTACGCACACAAATAGACATTAAGTCTGATAATGATGTAATGTAGAGCAACAATAGCAACCAGGACACATCTTGTTTCAGTTGTCAGGGCTTATGACTTGACTCAAGAGGAGGTATTTGTAACCCCCCAAAAAAAAACAAAAAAAAAAAACACCATCATCATACAGCAGGAACCTGGGCACTGATGGATTTTATTTACTGTAAATAAAGCGCAGTCAATCACTCATATAATCAAGAAACATAAAATACTGGTGATATTACCGTTTAGCACAAAGCCAAAGAACAGCTTCACAGAGATGCTGGTATGGCTGTAGACTCCTGTAGTCTTGGTATTCAACACTGACACCAACCAGTCATATCAGATGTTGCTTTTTATGTTTTTGTCATTTATTCCCTTTTACAGTTTTCATACTTTTGAAATGATTCCTTGAGGCTCATAATGAGGCTGACTCTGAGGTATCTTGTCCATGCTGGGAGGCTTGGCAGCCCATAAAATTACAGCCTAGTTCCACCATAAATAAAAGCCATTTAGGCTGTTTCCCATGACATGACCTACTGGATAAACTCAGTTCTCACTCAAGCCATTGCACACAGTAATGCTTAACTGCAATGGAAGAAGGCTGTATCTGGTGACAAGCTCTGTATTTATTGTAATTAGGTAACACAATTACAGTATTTTAAATCACTTTCTAGCACCAGTTATGTGATTTTATTAGAATTTTTAACAACTAATGTTGTTTTTATTTGCAACAGTAAAATGACCATTTAGACTTTGTAGTTTGATAATGCTTTCTGAAGCAATTCAATACTTGAGTCATTTCCAGAACAATTATTTTGATCGCTTACACTGATTTGCCCTGAATTGACAGTGTCTGACTTGACTTCACTGCCTCAGCGTGTCCCTGCTGCTTGGGCTTTGAACACAAATGTGGCATGAGACACCAACTGTGAGCCAAGACAAATCCAAGTGAAGATTAATCTCTCTGTTGAATGGTTTCCCACATTAACACCTCCCCCTTACACTGAGCTCTGGAATCCAACTGTTATGCATACCTGAACGCTTGCGCGAACAAAAAGACACGAAACATGCTCTCTGACTCTGACTTTCCCAATTTAACTTGTGAAATTGTTTGATTCTAGGAGTCCACTCCACTCAACTCTGTGATGCTAAGTTTGCATGCTTATGATAAACACACATGGCCTTTTGTGGGTTTGTTTACATTTTCAGGTGATAATGAAGTGAGCTGGTTCTTCTGCTGACAACCAGTACACTTGCTGAGAGCAGAACAACCGGGGACCATAAATTATACTTTATTGTGTGTACTCTAGCCAGTAGGCATCCTGAGGGAAACAGTCTCTCTGTTTACTAAAACCTAGGGAGGTAATAGTCCCTGGAATGAGCGCACTCACTAAGTGCTGAAAGAGTGGCATTGTATGGACATATTCATAGCAGGTCTGAATTTCCTGAGCACATCTGGAGCTCAGGGTCAGGAGTCCTGCTGCCTGGTCAACAAACTAATCACTTGAGCAATCCTACTGCGAGCATGCTGGGTGCTCACTGTATTCATCACATCTGATCTGGTGGGCCATTCAATCACTCAGCAAATAGCAGTGGGGACGTCCTTGAGCACAGCTGAGGACCCTGAAAACAAAGACAGCCAACAGAAGTGCCACCATACAGTATAGGCCCCAGCAGTTCCCTGGGCTCCTTTATACTGAAAATAACCCATCAGAACATGACCTAGACTGAGTGAAAGCTACCAGGATTTAAAGGTTCAGTTCAGTCAAGTTAGAAATACATTGTCTTAGGTACTTCTACGGGTTTTTAATTTAGGTTTTATTTGGCCAAGTCTTGAGGTAGCTAGCTCACAGTCACTAAAAGAAATAGTCCCTGTGAACACAACATTCTCAGTTGATGATAACAGCAACACTGATTCTGGAAAAGGGTGTTGCAGTCAAATATGTAATTAGTGTACTTTTTAAATGCTTTGTGCAGCACAAACACAATTCCATGTATCCATACTGGCCGGGATATCTAGCTAGATATCATTAAAAGAGTGCAGGAAATATGTTGTTGTAATTTGGGTGAAATGACTCTTTAAACCTGTATTATTTGAAATGATCACCTTATAAACTTGATATGTTGAATGCATTAAGAAACTGTTGGCCTATTAACACATCTAACAGATCAGAAGCAACATAACTATTTCCTGATTGTTGCTTGATAAAGAGCATAACATTTCTTTATCAGCTTCTTCATTAAAACACTTCTGTTCCTGGAAACAAGGGTGATGAAAGAGTGAGAGCGGAGCAAAATAATAAAGCTGTGTGCTGCAAAACCTAAACGCTGAGCTGAGTTGGTAAAATGACAAATCTCTGTAGGTAGATGATGTATTCAATGTTCATGATATACATTACTCACAGAAATATCCTCTGGCAGGCCTGTTGGCACCTCCACAGCCCTGTCACTCACTGTCACACTGCCCCTTGTCACAAACTGGATCACCGAGGAACTATCCTGTGGGTTGAGAGACGGTGGATTCTTGTAACTATTAGAATCACAACAACCTGCAACTAAATTCATCAAGCTTGTTTCCTACCTTCCTAAGAATTTCAGTGTTGAGGAGAAGTTTTATATCTATGCTTAAAGCTTCTTCTTTTAACTGTGGACCTAGACTGCAGGAGATTGTCATACATGCTCTTCCAGGCCGATCACAGTCCTTTTAAAAGGAGTAGAAAGGAGAAAGTGTGCAGGGGAGAGAAGGATGTGTAAGCAGATTTTACATTGACAAAAGAAAAACAAAACTAAACATACAAAAACAAGAATCCTCACAGGGCTGTCATTGACCTCTGAGATGTCAATATAAAATGCGAGGGCTTCATATTTACCAAGACTTTGCGTCCTGATTTGGTGAAGAAGGCAAATATGGAGTGGAACAGGCTCTCTTTTTCTTGGGGGATGGTGCATGGTGTCGGGTTTTTGTGAGGGGTGCAGTTCCCCCGGCCATTGGCCACCTGAAACAGGACAGTGAAACAGAAAAACTGAGCTGCGTTGAACACTGTATAGGTAAAATCACATCTAGTGAACAAAAATAAAATCATAAGTGTAACAGCACTGGGTTAAAATGGGATGTGTGACAGGATGTGAAGGAGTGCAGGAGGTTCCTCATGTTTAAACTGCAAAGAAAGATTTAGATTTGGGTTTGGCATCAAAAAATGTGGACACAAGCACTTCTGTCACCTAAAATAGCCAAATCCCATTATTGTTTTGAATGTCCAAGGCTCAAAGGAACTTCTACCCAACAAGAAGCAGGTACCCCTCCCAGGCAGATTTCCCATATGGAGTGATTTAGGGGTGTCTGGTTTACTGCCCAGCCCCCGGGGAGCACTTCCCCTTTCCCCTCTCCTCATATCTGGAGGGGGGGAATCTCCTTTGGCTTTCCTCATTGTCTGCTCTGCTACGACCCAGCATATCTGCACTTTTATTGCAGTGCTTTCTCATGTCCTGTGTTCCTGCTGCCATTGCTGGCGTGAAGATTCATAGGATGCTCAAACTTTAACCTGCCGACCCCCCCCAGTTTTCAGCGTAAATAATGAGAATGAATGAATGATGATTGAGAGATTTTGTGCAGAAAAACTAGAACATATGGAACAACAGTGAGGAACTAGTATATCATGTTGGAACAAATGGAGTTCTGTATATATTTTAAGAATATCTGGCTATAAAACACAAGTGTGCAAATGTCCGGTGTGCTACAGATTAGACGCAGTGTTAAAAGCATTCATGATTTGTGGTTCCATGCTGGGGATGGTATGGGGCAGTAGCCTGCTCTGCAGGTGTCGCATTCCTGTTTCGTGCAAGCTGTCCGATCCCCTGAAAGTGATTCCAGATGGGCTCTAGGAGGGTGAGATACAGTCCACCCTGTCTGCACATTCACAGTAAATACAATTAACAGCATGAGACCCCATGATCTACCCATATGAAAGGAGCAATGCAAGGGTTAAGATAGCATTTACAGTATACACAGAGGGAGTATTGCATTTCTTTATCTAAAAGCAAAATGCTGTGAAACAAAATGATTGGGTAGCATAGGTAGCAGTGTCAATACTTTTGTTTGGGTTTTCACTGGCCCCCTGATGCCTCACACTGAGTCAACTGCTTGTGCCATGACAAAAAACCCACTGGTTTAGTGTTTTTTTTTTTTTTTTTTTTACATACTGTAAAAATGTCCTCTGAGGTGGCTACAAGAAGCTGGGTCATAAAGAGAAGCAAGACAGACAGGCATGGGCTGAAGAAATGAATTAAATGTGGCTGCCTGCAGGTGAACAAACAACTGAACAGAGATTTTGGCAAATTAAATAATGTAGTTGGACTACTGTTGGTATTCACCTGTGTTTCAATGATGTGGAACATATCAGCTCCGCTGCCAGCCAGTCGGTTGGGTATCCTGATGTCTACAGTGGAGCCCGGCAGCCTGCTGGGCCCCTTGTTTATGGCCTTGAACCACATCACACAGAGAGAGGGAAAGATGGTGACAAGAAAAAAGAGAAGTGAATATATAAGGGAATGTGCAAAAATACTGAAAATCCTATATATAATATACTCAATGCCTATAGTACCTGAAAAGTGAGATTGAGAGGCTGAAAATTGCACTCCATGTCTTCCAACTGTACAAAGCGCGAGGCATCGATGGAGTTTCCATACACAAAGGAGGTTGGTGTCACCACACTGTGAGCAACAGTGTTCAGGAAAGGCAGGTGGTGATGCATTAACATAAAAAAACTACTCATTAAATGCCCACAGCAATAGCATTAACAAGCCCTTCACAAAAATTTCTGGCTTCAATCATGTTAATAGCTGGACAGCAGGGTTTAGCAGCTGAGATATGTGTCCAGCTTTGCTTTAAAGACAGCACACACAGTGGCCTTATCAGATGGCAGAGCTCTGGCGGATTAGAGCTGTTTTACATCCCACTCCCTTCTCTGTGAAGCAGAGCTATGCTAAAACATTCAGAGATAAGGCTTTTCAAGATGATATACTCCATACTGACAAAAGCGCTCCCTCTCCTCCCAAGAGCCAACAGATAGGCAACCAGTTCAAGTCATATAAACTCAGACAACTTTAAGTTTGTTAGCAAAAACTATGTGTTCATGTTTGTGTTGTTCTTACCCAGTAATCATTGTGTCGGTCTCATGAACCAGAGGGATGGACAGATCCAAACTGTTGTCAGAGAGCGTGTGCTCCGGATTAGCGCTGTAACAATCAAAAAACATTATTCAGTCATTTTGTAAATCAATTCAGATACTGTGTACAGGATTAACGTCCACAAACAGCAGCATGTGAGCCATGAAACATACCTTTTTGCTTGGACTAAGAACTGCAATGTATCATTTTCCCCAGAGAGCTGACTTGTGTCAAAAATCACTGAAAAATGATACTGAAGATAAAAAGACAGAAGAAGGAGTGTGACTGACTGTATTTGTCAATGACAAAACAGTTTTCCATGTGATATAGTATGTTTGCTGCAGAAATGCAGTCAACAGAATGCTTCTGCACACCAGTGCATTGTGTATAACTGAGATTACAACATCTCTAAAAACTGTATGTACAGTAAACTGCATGCAGTTTTGACACTGTGCGCTCAGACCTGTCTTGCTTTGAGCTACCTTAGTCTGTGCTCTCATGAAGGGAAATCCCACACTGCATTTAAGGAAGTCCAAATCAACAAGTCCACAGGAGATACCCTTGTCTTCCTGCAAAAACACAGTCAGAGAATAAAGAGGGGTTGATAAAGGCAGACAGACTGGAGGCAGAGTAGGCAGCACACATGGAGACAGAAAACACAAAGAGAATGACACAGTAGAGGGAACTGATGCTTTAAGTTAGCTTTGGTTGGTAAACATCTGCCAACATTTACAGCATGAACAAAGATCAATTTTAGAAACAAATTTCTATATGTAAAATAATAGGTTTTCATATGACAATAAGTTCCAAATAAGGTTAAATAAAGAAAGTACAAAGCAGTGATGGCACACACATCTTAGCGGGTGGGTAATTGGACAACCTCCAGGCTGTATGTTTAGAAGCTTGTCTAAACAATATGGAGCTTCACCGGCTGCACTATGTAAACACTTGGGCCTTGACCCTATGAGAAGTAAGAATTCTTTTAGCGAGAGTTCACTGAGAGGCTGTCGGCTGAGCTCATATGCTTGGAGTGAGAAATTAAGGCAGAGGTACTATGACTTATAAAAAGAGACAGACTAGTGCTCCTGGATCATTTAGCATGGGGATTAAGGTACTGGAAGTCATACAAAACTGCTGCTGCCCAGCTTGAACTGGTGTGAGGTTAATCTCTGCTGACATGTTAAAAGGTAAACATCCTTTCATAGTATCATCCGCATGACCCTTTCACTTATTCAGCAGATTCCCAGTGTCAGTCCAAGGTGTGGCTGTGGGGCTGTGGGGCTGTGGGGGGATGGGCACCCTAGCACAAATGGCAATGATGGAATTTCCTGTATTCCTCAATTTTGCTGTGCAAGCACTCCATGTCCCATGGGGCTGGGCAGGACTGGAGAAGTCAGCCTATTTGCCCATCACCCACCTGGCAGCCCTTGAAAGAAAGCAGAGTGCTCTGACTTATGGAGAGCTGTGCCTCTGTGGCGAGCAGAGTGACAAAGTCTGTTTGTTTGACACTTCTTCACTTTCTTTCTCTTGCTTGCTTTCTCTGGTCTGTCTCTGCCAGGAACAAATACACACTGAGATGGGCCTGCCATTTGTGAAATAATCACCAGTACTGTTTATCTGATTTAGTGTTAGCTGAAGCATCTGCTGGATTAGTATGTCACTGTGGATGACAATACACAGGACACCCCCATTCTGCATTTCTCTTTAGTGTTTGGCTTTATTGTGGCCTACCTTTTCCAAACCAATGTTGTCACCTATTTTATACTCCCTACACAGCTATGAACACTAAGATAAACCTTTGGTATTCATATCATGTGCAAAGCTGTTTGTCCTAGCAAAGAAAATCAGCCACAATGCTCATTTGGTCCAACTGTTTGGTCACCAGAAATCAGTGGTGGAAGATCCTTTACCTACTGTAAGTAAAAGTAGTAACACTAAACCCTAACACTCCATTCAAAATTTAACTTAAGTAAAAGTACAGAATTATTATTAGCCAAACACATGTAAAGTATTAAAGTATCACACTGTGAGAATACAAACATATTATTATGAAATCTAGTAACAAGTGTTAGAGTTATGTCTGGTGTAATACATAACAGCACGCTACACTGAACATGAATTTATTTATTTATGTACGTTTATAAATGTAACTGATTGAAAATGTTCAAATCAAATGTCACCCAAATATCAACTGCTGCATTAGCAGATAAGTAGTATTTTAATTCTTTACACATTGCTGTTTGATTTAATGCAATAAATCATAATTTAGAGACGTCTGTTTTGTGTGTAAAGCCTTAGTTTTTAAAGTATCAAACGTTATGGAGTAAAAAGTACGATATTTCCCCTGAAATATGGTGGAGTAGAAGTGTAAACTGCTACTAGAAATACAGTGGCACTGAACATCTGCTCTGGCCTTTAGGAAAAACCAAAAAGCTAGAATCAAGTACTCAAACATTTCAGAGATAACAAAGAAAACACAGAAGCCAGGGCAGCAGCCTCTGAGTCCCATGGGAGTGAAGCCAGTGCTCCTGAAACCAATTCACCTCTACAGCTTTCTGACAGCTTGTGTTGCAAGAACAACAGAGAGATAACACACCCTACTCTTAAATATGAAGGGAGTGCAAGTTCATGCTTCGCTCTATGGAGAAGAAGCCTCAAGGGAGGACTGGAAGCTGACTTTAACTTTGCAAAGAGGGGTCACATCATCATCCCGGCCTTCTCCAGTGGTAATTATGTCTTACCGAGGATACAGCAGTAAATCTGCTCAGTGGCCTCCTAGTCATCTCTTCATACTGTTCACTTCCTGTTCCCTTTGTGTGGCATGCCACCCTGACTTATCAGCTTCCTGAACTAAATGAGACTGCTGGTAACCTGATACTTAACATCAGCCAGCTTCCTTAGATTAGCTATGAAACTGAAATTGAAACACTGTTGGTTTAATATTTGCCTGCAGCGTGTATTCTATTTAAATTAAATTTCAGTCCTTTGGGGGGGTTTTAAATCATGGCACAGGTTTGGCGCTTTACACAGATGGCTTTATCCATCACAGGGGTGCAAAGCCCGGCTGCAAGATAAAATATGAGGTCCATTATTGGGTCAAAAGCCTTCCTGAAGGATGCTGTCCCTTCTAGCATCTGAAAAGCTACTGAACTCTTGTAGGCTCATGACAGAGCACTCTGTCTGACGTGGCATCCCCTCTCAGCTGAGAACTGACCCGTTGGCCTCGTTGCAACAAGTGAGCAAACAGACACGAGCAAAGGCAGAAGTGGCCGCTGGTAAATCCATCCACATAGAGCATGGTCCCGAGGAAAATCTCTTAGTTTAACGCGGGTTAATATTTCTTGAACAGAATTCTGAGTGTGAGAAGCAGGCCTGATCCACTTTATAACCCTGTATTAAACATGGTCTTATGAGAGATTTGTGACATGATTAACACAGTTTGAACAGTACATAAATCAAGCTTGAGGAAACATTAGGTATGAATGTTCTGACTTGTTCTTATGCACATGGCTCATATGTTGCTGACATGGTGTGTCTGTCTATAAGAGTAGAGAAGCATATGACAAGTTAGTAAGAGGAGCTGCCTTCTGAGACGGGACAGCTGTTGCTGCTCTCCTTCTCTTCCTCCTTTCATCTGCTGGGCTGCCTACACGGGTCAGGCAAAGCTTTAAGTTTATCTGTCCTCTCACAGTTCTATATTTTGTATGCTTCACTGTTTAGACTGTGATACCGACATGCAATCGGTCTTTTTAAATGAACTATCTTGAAGATTATGCACATTTCATTGGAAAACAAATGACATTCAGCTGTTATTTAGGTAAACATATCGCTTTATGTACAGTTTAATCATCAGTCTCACATGTACTTCAATGCAGCAAAGCAGCAACCAGTCAAACTTCAGAAATACACATGTGCCCCAGAGCAAATAAATAGCAAATACTTCAACAGACCTTCTGCCAAAAGTTGATGTAGAAAACTTCCCTGGAGAAGTTGAAGTAGATGTTGGTGTCATAGGCGTCATCTCCATCGTTAGAGATGGTCAGGTTCAAGGAGACATTCTTCACTCCTCCGAGGGCCAAATGAGGCTTGATGTGCAACCTAATGGGACCATAAAGTAAATAATGTATTTCAGAGAATAAACAAACCACTTATGGCATTTTGGGATAACACATGAGAAACAGGAAGCAAAGATTTATATTAAAAAGTGAGCTAAGCATGTTTTATTTTGGAATTCTTACTTTAAAATGTAAGTAAACAAAGTGGAGTGCCCTTAAAATGAAACATTTTCTTTTTTTTTTCTTCTTGGGGGGGTTGGTGGGTGTCAAACAAAGAATATGTATAAAAGATGACTGCTGGTTACCATGACATACATAAAGATACACAAAAAAAGAAAGGGAACTCCCTAAGTAAGAAAAAACATATGGAAGTCCTCCAGGCATGCATCATGGTTCTGCTACCCACACCCACATGGCCTATGATGTTAGCTTGCTTCCTCAGTATTAAAAGAAAAGGCCAAGATAGAGAAAGAGTTTAAACTGTGAAGTTGAAGGTTTTACCCAGAGAGCAGTAGTTTCCCATGAAGCCTCAGGTCTGCGGCACAGTCATCTGATAGGCAGTTCTTCTCAAACCAAGTCTGAAGAGGAAGCAGCAAAGTACACAGTTCATGTGAGCTTGTGCAGACCAGGGGGCAGTGTTGTGTTGTTGATGGAGCTTTTCAGGAGATTTCTGTCCAGGAGGGCTTGTTACTCTATCTGATCTTTCTTTTAATCAGTCAGAGGGTGGGCTTTGGTTTTAGTCATAAAAGGAAAGTTAAGTCAAGCGGTAAAGATCAATGTAACCTTGATGAGCTGTACCTAAATGAACTCTGTAGTTGCTGAAGGATGCAAATCCCTCAGTGTTTCAAGAAGTGCAGACAGTAGGGAAACACATGTGGGGCAGGTTAGAGGTGGTTGCAAAGAAAATAAATGAATCAGTCTTTTTGGATTCCACTCAAGAAAAACTAACACAGACAAAAGCAAGCTGGTAACCAACACCAAATCATTATAGCCTCAATTTTGACTATTTCCTTCATTCCTCCTGGGGTCCAGTGACACTGACTCCTCATGTCAAGGTGTGGAGAACTTTACCTTCAGCTCAGTTGGTCAAGGAAACACACTATATCAGAATCTAAATTGGTAGAAAATGTCATCCTCTTAATATAACACCACTGCAGCTCACCTAATCTATATCTTTATAAAAGATACATGATACTGTACCTTGGTAATTTATGAAAATAAATCAAAAATGTAAGAAAAAGAGGATTTAGCCTGAGAACAATCATGGCCTTCTTAACAAAAGAGCCAAAAATCCTCTCTGAAGGCCATTTTCTTGCTTAGAACCATGTATCTAAAAACCAATTTACTAAAATATTGGGGCTAGAGTGTTTTTTTTTTAACATTTCATTAAAACAACAGCCTATTTTGTTTAAAGAACAAACCATTGATTTACATACTGTATGTAAAATAAAATATATAAACTGAAATGTTAAAAAGGGTTCTATATTCATGGGTCTCATAGAGAGTTCTACTCAAATTCAAATGATTCTCCAGATAATAATTGTATCAGTCTTTGTTCAGTGTGGCAGATAGTGAAGAACACAGACAGAGGAAACTGACCTTATTAGGTAAATTTACCATTTGAAGCCATTTTTTGTTCCAGTAATTAAAATGAGAAGCCTGAAACCTTCAACGATTAAATTGAGAAGGCCTTTAGTTCATATATTTAAACAACATTAGTCCTTGTTTTACCTCATTCCTTACTGCAGTCTTGTTTCCTTTCCTCCATCGGAGCACCGGAGTGAGCGCGGGCAGGTCTCGCTCCTCCTGTGTTGTGAGAACATGCTTCCCCAGGCTGTAGGCCACCTCAAATGTGATGGCTGTGAACACATCCTTCACATCTTTCTGTAGAGAGCATTAAAAAACAAGGTTACTGAAAAGAATTTATCCACCATAGACACAGAACATTACATTTAATTTTATCCTCAAAGCAGTAGCTGTTGTATATAGTAATTTAACATCTCTGTCCAGTTGGCGCCTGTCACAAAGACTGCAGATTATTGGTAGAGCACAGCCTGGATATGGTGTTATCGCTGTAATCGCTGAGCCAGAGAACCAGAGTTGAATTCAGATCTGAGTATACTGATCAACAATAAAATCATCCTAATTAGTTGAAATGGATGAATGAGACACGAGTCTCTCATCAATGATTATATCTTTTTGCAGAAAGTAATATTAACAGGACTGCCACAGAAGGTTTTGAGCACAGTGAACACAGATTTTTTTAACCTGCTGGCACCGACTCCAACATCTATCTCTGCATCTCTGGCGGCTCCATCTAATACCACAAAAGCAGTGTTTGATTTGGCATCAGGTTTGGAAACAGTGCAGGCAGACTGAAAATAGAGCTAAATGTGATCTGATCCCATGTCCTCATTAGATGACAGGGCTGAAAGAACTACATGGGAAAGACAGATACTAATATTGCTTTTTCATCTCTTCTGTCCATTCTGTCCATTAGATACTGTAAATACACTCAGCTCTTTAAAGACTACTTAGTGGGTCAGGTCCTAACATCTAAAAACTGCAGCAAAACACACACACAAGCTCCATAGGCAACTTGTGTGACTGCCCAGCTGGTGTCTACTCGCATGGAGCCAAACCCACAATGTAAACATACAGCACTTCCCTGTGTTTTCTGGTGGTCACTTAGGCCACTCGTTCTTTTGCACTCTCTTTTTTTGTCTATTATCACAGCATTTTCCACTGTCTGCCCACCCATCCGCTTTCCTCATACAGGCACAGGACCATTTTAAGCTTTGAACATCACCATCACCAGTGGAGAACCCACCCAACTCATCAACAATGAGAGAGTTACAGCAGGAAAGAACCAATGTTGACAAGAATGGACAAAAACAGCAAATCTGGGGCTCATTTGGGAAAGATGCTGCATGTAGATAAAACCTTGTCAATAATGTCAAAGAACTGTCTGTCACTATCTGGTTGGCTCTACAGCCAAACATTTTAAATGGTGCTGAAAATCACATTTATTTTCATTGTCAATGTTCTGGCCTGTTCCTTTATTAATTAATCAATCATTTCAAGTTAACATCAGAATGTCATTCTCCGTGACACCGCTGCTGACAGTCAACTGACAAAATCCTTAGTCAGGTACAGCCCTAGAATGGACTGAAAATTACAATATGAACAGCCTCTTATCAGAGATGAACAGATCAATAATAAGGCAGAGTAATGCAGATGCAAAAAAAAGACACTGACTTCACATCCATCAAAGGGCTGCCATTCATGCCTCACTGGACTTAACAGAGACGGTGCTGTTCTGGTAGTTTATCAGCTCAGCAGGGCGGTTACATTACACAATGTAGTATTCAGTTCTGGATAAGTGAGACTCTGGCAAATCCCTCAGCCACAATGAGCACTGAAAAAGACTGCCTGAAATGGCCCCTGTCCACTGGCCTCTTAGTGAACTCACCACCTGGGAGTTCACTGCTCTGGTCTCCAGTCCCAAACTCCCACCGCTCATCTCACATTTTCACAAGGCACAGCAGAACTTAGACTTGAAATCAAATGTGGTGTTTTCACACAATCTCATGCTTAAAGGTGACTCTTATGCACAAATAAATAGGCATAATGCTTCCATTATTGTGCTGTGGAAGGAGTTCTGCGTTTTTTACAGAGTATCTATTATTGTGCATACACAGGATCGCTTTCTTCTGCAGGCTGCTAACTGGAGAGCTCCCAAGACTCATAGCAAGCCTGCTATTCAGTAACACTTGGCCTACGCTTTTATTATCCTTTGATCAGTACTGCCAATTGCACCGCCCAAATTGACGCCCCTGGTCCGCACACTTACTCCCTACTAATCCTGATTGTAATTCCTGTACTTATGGAACAGAGGAGTTCCTGAGCTCTAGCTGAAAAGGACACCAGATAGTGTTAACTGCCTGCTACCCATAATGCTATGGAATGAAAACCAACAACTGTTCGCTACATGACGGTACGTTCACAAGAAAAAGCTTGTGCCAGGTCATTCTCTGCTCAAAGGCTTCCACTGTGTTAATCTTCAGTCCAGCAGTGAGGCCATAGGGTGTGTCCCCGAGCTCTAATCACAAACAGTAATGTTGGGGATGGAATTTCTGTCATTTAGAAGCCAGTACAATGACAGTTGTGGTCATATTAAGCAACAGGTTTATATAATTTTTCCCCGAATAATGTAACAAGACAGAAGAAATAAAAAGCTTAAGTTATAAGCAATGAAACATCCCTTTTCTCATCTCTACACTCGGGTTTTGATGCAATAGCCTGGGCTGGTTTGAGGACCAAAGGTGCATTGCTATTTGTTGAAGTATCGGTGCGCACAGTTAAGTTGTGACTCGTTTTGAGGGCCATGTAAAGACGTTTCCTATAGTGAAGAAAGAAATGAAGGAAAGCATGATAAGGAAAGAAGAGGAACAGGAGGGCAGCAGAACATCCCTCCCCTGTTGAAGGTGTGAAAGAACAAGAGAGACCAGTTTGTTAAAACAACTGGAGAAACATGTGGCCCTAAGTCATGCCTCACTGGAAAGAGTTCAATCTTTTATGACACACTTGATACAAATGATTCCTGGCAGTATATTCCTAAAGTTAACTCCAGTTTACTCACAGGATGGGGGACAGCTTGCCACTTTGCATGTTTTGAAAGAACAACTAGGAATTAAAGCTTCACTTATGACAGATCCTCTCTGTGGATCAAGGTTTCTCCAATATGATTTTTAACTGTATGTTCACAGAGAATAACTCCCACCATACCGACCACCCTTTCCCTTGACTTCCCTCTATGCTGCATGCATGGCTGTTTTCTGCACATCCATACTTTATGTTTACATGTTTTTAGGAACATAAACACTGCTCCTGTATACATTTATCTAACTTAACTGAGCATGTAGGTTTCTCCCACACTGTAGCTAAGCTGACCTTTAGTGTTGCCAGCTCTGATTCTCACATGTTAAACTGATACACAAATGGCAACACACCAAACAGCTCCTTCAGGCTCACAGAGGGAGGATATGGGGAGGATGACATCAGGCTGTAAAAAACTCTGATCTTCAGTTTAAATGCCTAATGCTTGGTTGAAATGCACAAGAGCTCCTCTCCCAGTCAAACCGTTCCTGGACACATGACTGTAAGCCTGGTCATGGGAAGTCTTCATTAACTTGGAGAAATGCACACATAGGACTCCTTTTAGGACAATGAATGTTTGGATGACTTGCAGATTGAGGCCATTTCATTCAAGCCAGGGAATCTTGGTTTAAATGGAAAAAGCTCTTTTGTAAAGAGACGAATGGATTCAGCCTGTCAAAGGTTAGAGTTCTGTGTGTATAGTGAGACCACTTTAAACTGAAAGTATTTATTATAATGTCTGCAGAATATGGCAGACATGCACTTAAGCAGCTTATCTCAAGATTTTCTTAAAAAAAGTCTAGAAATAAGACAACTACTGAATTTTTTTAGTGTAACTCTCTACAGGTCAAAGTATATTGTTCAGCTAAAATAGGTAAAAGATCACACATCTACTAACAAATACCATGGCTTATACTCATTTTAACAGAATTCATTTTGGTTTCAACCTCTTTTACTTACTATGAACTTTACTTAAATCCTTATATACCCAACTAAAATACTCCATGAAGCAGCTTTTGACTGATCATTTCAATACGTATCTCTTTAGCTGCTAAATGTGCACAGTATGTCCTACACTTACAATAACTGCTGTGAAACAGTTTGAATATGATGTATGACAGCTTTGCTGGATGTTGCAATCTGCAATCTCACCGTGAGATGTCACTAAATCTCACATGCTGCACCTTTAAGCAAGAGGTCATCTAAACATTGACTGTATATAAAAAATGGACAAACCTTCTGTGACATCAATCATTGGTTTTCAGCGGTTTTGAAGCTCAAGCTGGCGGTTGCCATACTGGTAGCGCATCACTAAGCCTGCTATGGCTAATCCGAAAATGGGGTGTCACATGAGTGGAGCTCACTAGACAACTAGTGGCTAGCCACCAGTGGCAGAACCCTCCTGCTTTTTATCTCAAGTGGCCACCCCCTTAATTATGCAAATATTTTAGCCTCACTATAAATTCAATGGGTGAGTTATATAAAAATTCACCCCCACCCCCTCCCACAATTGTGCCTGTAATCATATTTATTTCTGCTGTAAATTTGGGCATTTTAACATGGGAGCCTGTGGTGACTGACTCCCTTTTGAAGCCAGCCTCAAGCGCCCATTCGAGGACCTGCAGATTTGAACTCTTCCACAATGGCTTTATTTCTCAGCCTTGGAGGCTGCCACTTGTGTGAAACAGTTACGCAAAGCCATGAAAGTAACCATTTAACCATGTTCTTATCGTAGTCTGAGGAAACAATGTAATAAGTCGACAAAAATGTACCGAATACCTTCAGCTTGTCCTAAATCTAATAATTCTGAGTAATATGAAAATGCCACACTACCAGTCAGACCAAATGTATGCAGTATGCCTTTGAACCCAGTTCCCATTCAACATGAGCCATGTTTAGTACAATCACTGGAAAATCTTTCAGTCTGTCTGGTGTTCATTGTAGAGGCAGTTATTCTCAGATGTCTGTCCAGCTTCAAGCATCAACCTCATGAATCACACACCTCACTCACCACATAACCTGCCATGCATCAAAATCAAACGTAACAAGAAACAAATGAAACAGACACAAACATAACAGGGTCCAGAGGTCATTGTATGAGGTGGCAAGTACAAAAGGCTGATATGTTCCTATTGCTGAGCCCTTAATTAAGAATTCCCCAGAATTTCCGCTTCCTATACCTTCACCACACCAGAGAGAAAGAGATTGCACAAGAGAAACAACAA